AAAAAAAAAAAANAAAAAAAAGAAGAGAGATCTGTCTATTCCATTCATCATACTATGTACGATCGAACTCTTGTAGAAAAGGTCGCCCACCACCCTCCGGGCATCGTGGCTGCTGCAAACAGACAGACCACGCCTCGTGAGGGCTTATCGATGGAGAGCAGTTGGATGCTTCTTTTACAGCCTTACCTGTTGTTTAGGAAACGAGAGAGGCAGTTAAGTGCTCATCTCTCTGACTGGCTTAAGAATGACAATAAACAAAGTTTGCACCGCTACTTCCCCGAGGCGCCTGGTCCTGGCGGGGTCCGAAAGCCGCCGGCGCGTCCTCTCGTCGCCGAGAAAAAGACCAGACTTCGTTCCCCCTCTGGTGTCAGGCAAGAATAATGTGTTTGTGAAGGCTGCAAGACTGCGCCAAAGTCGATCTGGATACCGGAATGGTCAGTTTACCAGGCGGTGATGTCTTCCACCTCCGCTTCGCCGAATGTGCTGCTCTTGGTTAGCTTATTCACGCCATCCACAGCCTCGGCGCCACCCTCGGGAACCTTGGACATGATGTCCGGAAGAACTTCGCGGAAGAACTCGAGGATATACTTGTTGACCTGCTCAAACTGGAGGAGGAAAGCATCGTGTCCCTCGGGACTCTCGATCCGCTTCAATCTCGAGTCCGGAATACCAGCTGCGATTTCCTGCTGCTCCTCAAAAGTGAACAGTCCATCGGTCTCGATGCCCAAAACCAACGCAGGCTGCTCGATTTGGCCAAGTGCCTCGCGGACAGGATTCTCAGAGTCTGCGCTGGCCCGGTGTCTCGAGACGTCGTGCGTGTCAAGCTTGCGGGTGATCGCAATGTAGCAGTTGGCGTCGAACCGCTTCACGAACTTCTCGCCCTGGTAGCGAAGGTAGGACTGAGCTGAGAAATAAGTGGGAAGCTTCTTCTGATTGCCCTTTGGTTCGACAGTCTTGCTGAAGGTCTTGGTTCCAGAGAACTGCGGGTCCTGGAACAGAATTTCGGCCGGCTGGGCAAGCGCAGGCGACTGGAGCACAGGGGAGCTGCGTCCACTGCTCTTGTGCCCATCGTTGTGAACGGCCCAGTGCTCGTTGGGCGGACTGGGCAATCTCTCGGTGCCGTTAATGTTCTGGCGCTTGGAGGGATCAGGCACGTTTCGGCCGAAGCGAGACTCAAAAGAGTTGCGGCTGCGGTATGTAAGAAGGGCAGACATGCGGGCCGCACCTAGCCCGGTCGCAGGAGGGTCATCGAACGAGTAGTAGCCATCCTCGTACTTGGGATCGCTGTAAATGCTTTGCCGTTGCGCCTCGCCCCAACTGATACACCAAGCAGAGTGACGGGGAGATGTGGCGATAGGACAAATGGCACGGACATAATCCTTGCCGAAGTAGGCGTACTCGAGGGTAAGCATGCCACCCATGGAACCACCCACGACGGCAGCAATCTGCCGTACGCCAAGATCATCGAGCACGATCTTGTGAATTCTTGTTGACGTTAGACACGAATACGCTCAACTATCCTTCGAGAAAATAGCATACCTCACATCATCACGCACGGTGGTGAGAGGGAATTCGGGTCCGTAAAGGCCCTTCTCCGGGTCTCCGTCCTTGTAGGTCACAGCGCTGGCACTACCATACGGACTGCCCAAACTGTTAAGGCAGACGACAAAGAATCGCGAGGTATCGAAAGCTTGACCGGGACCACCGAGCAGAGGGCCCCACCAGTCCGCGACATCAGCGCTACCACTGAGGGCATGGCAAATCACCAAGACATTGTCGCCGTTCGGGGAGAGTTTGCCGCGGGTGGTGTACGCCACCGGAACGTTATGCAAGGTAACACCAGACTCGAGAGTGAAGGAGGGGATGATCGCGATGGACTGATCGGTGATCAAGGCCGAAAATGGGTTTTCAGGTTGCGAGGCGACTCTCTCTACGGGATTTAGTAGCCATTCACTCAAAAATCGCGGGGACGGACAGAACTTGTTGAAGCGGGGGCGGGGGAATTTCTGGGGAGGGGGAGTACTGACGGAGTTTGCCAGAGGCGCCAGAAGTTTGTGTGACCATTCCGGCGAGGATAAGCCTCAGAAAAGCGATGCGATATGAGGGTGAGGACAGAAGTAATCACAGAAAAATGCAACAGCAATGAGCGAGACAACTTTTTGGGGGAAAAATGTAGGACGATGGAGGAGTGAAGCGGGGACAAGCCTCATTTTCAAGTTTTCCGCGGGTGACTCATGCGTCATGAACACCCAATCGGAATCCCTGGTTAACTCGTGCATCACGTGATGCGTATCTGTATACGATGAATACGCAAAGTGGATTTGCCAGTTTTGATCCATGATTCATGCATGATTCATGCTTCCTTCATGCTTCCTTCATGCTTCATGCCTCATGCTTCAATCTTAGCACACTAGATTATATTAGGCTGTCTCCACCGACGATCCCGATGCTTCTTCTTTCCTCTCAGACCGGATACTACCCCATCCCATTCCCCATGCAACCACGAAGCACACGCAGGAGCAACCCGCACAGAGGTAGAACACGCGGTCGATGGTCTTCGAATATGCCAGGAGGACCCCATAGAGATCCGCGACCGATACGACACTCCGAAATCCAGTTGCTCCAGCTGTAAGCACCTCTTGGGCGCTGACATGCGGTGCATATTGCGGCAGCAATTCCCTCAAACCTGTATTTTGAATGGTCTGCGAGAAGCTTAGGAAGAGAGATGCCCCCAGGGTTGAGCTGAACATTAGCAAGCCCATTGCAATAGGCACCTCGGGGGCCGGGAGCGTGCTTTGCACGGCAACAATAGGCTGAGACGCGCTGGCTTTAGTTTCCCGTACGAAACATTTACAGTTCAGGTCGACTTACCAGCTGTATACCCATACCTTCGCCCACTCCTGCCAATACCTGGTACCCAGCCCATTTGCCAATGGATGTGTCCGGCATGAACGTAGCCATCAAACCACTTGAGACGCCGTTAAAGATGGAGCTGATGAGAACGTATGGCAGGTAATAGCCCTGGCGTTCGACTGTGGTATATCAGTCAAGATCTAAAGCCAGATAAGCAATAACCTACCGAGCATGCCCACCAAGAGCGCTGCAAGCAGTTGCGGTACCATAGTGGGCAGACGGAATAAGCCACTGAACAGGGGCGAGGCCCCCTTAACTGCCTGGAAGTAGATTGGAACGTAGTAGTCTTTGCAGATAATCAGACTCATCAGGAACCCGAAGTTCAGACAGCTGCAATATACCACACGATTCGACAGGATCTTGAATGGAATCATCGCGTCTGTGCCTTTGAGGTACTCCCAAACAAGAAAGATGATGAAGGTGCAGCCTGCACCGCAGAACAAACCAACGATGGTAGGACTACTCCAGGGGTACTCGTTGCCTCCGTATTGCAACGCTAGAAGCAATTGAATCGCAGCTGGGGCGAACAAGATGAAACCAACAAGGTCCAATTGTCGGTGAATCGACCGAGCAACTGTCAACGCTGCAGGCTTGTGCAGCTGCTCTGGAATGTCGATGAAAGCAATCAAGGCCGCGACAACTCCTCCAATGGGTAAATTGATATAGAAGCCTGAAATCAGTTTAGTGATAAGCCGAAAGCAGGGCAGGAGGTACCTACACCAGCGCCAGGTCGAAAACTCAGTCAATGCACCCCCAAGCAAAGGACCTATCACCAGCCCCATCTGCGCTACTGTGGTCCTGTCAGTCGTATGTTCACGGAGACCAACCGGTTCGTGACACACTTACTGCCCATAGACATTCCGATCAATGCTGCAAACTTGTCAGCGGTCTCCTTCAAGGAATATCTATCTCAAGCTTACAAGGCCTTTTGCTCATGGGAACTGAGTTGGCGATGATGGTGAAAGCGCCTGTCTGAATGCCAGCACCTCCGATGCCGGCCACGGCACGTGCAACGATCAACATCTTGGATGAGCTAGCGAGACCGCAGAGAAGGGACCCCAGTTCGAAAACGGTGAAGAACGTAAAGAAAGTCCACTGCTCAATTTGAGTTGAAGTCTATACGGGCAATAGCAGTTCGACACCTACTTTCGAGTTGAAACTGGCATAGAGTTTGCCGGCCAATGGCTGTAGAGCAGCACTGGATCAAGTCAACAATTGTATGTCAAGTAACCACACTGGCAGGGCTAAAGGCTCACCTGGCCAACTGATACGAACTGCCGTACCAGCCCACATCGTCGAGAGAGTGGAAATCACTGGTGATTCTAGGGATTGCCTGTACCGGGATTAGTGGTAGACCATGCGCTCGAAATCCAGGTAGACTCACCGTTGAAATTATAGACATATCGAGCAGCATCAAGAAGCTCACAGCGGTGATGCCTGTAAAGACAGCTGTCAACCTCCAGCCGGTGATCCATTTTTCTAGGGATAATTCGGTCTGGCTGATGTCGGGGAGGCTGGTCGTGAGATCCTCCGAGTCCTTCTCTCCTGTCAAATGTGTATCCATGGAGGCGAGGTCTTGCTGCAGATAGTTGTCACACGGCGTGATAAGAATGTGTGCTACGGTCTTTGCTTCAAGAGAACAGAGGATTCATCGATTAAAAGGTTGGCATTCAGTTGCCTTCCTTGCTCAGCCGTGGAGACATTATCTGCCAATGAATCTCCGAAGTATTGAACGCCACATTTGATGCAGTGCAGCTATCCGACCTTCTCCAGTTCTTTTGTCCTTTCAGTGGCCGCTTACCTTTCAGGCAACTCGATGATAGATCTCAGAAAGTGTCACCGGACATGACATATCATATCCAGGGGACTTTGTCTACCGGCAGAATGACAGACGGGATAAGCATACAGTAGGGATGAAGGCCAGTATGATTGCTCGGACATGATGAGATTAAGACACAAAAAGAATATAAATATTACATGTTTATACCAAAATCAAACCCAGATCACAACTCAACGATCAATTTCGTCGCCGACACTCCCTTCTTCAAAGTATCCAAGCCACTCTGAACCGACTCCAACCCCCGTCCCACCACCTCCACCTTCAACGCAGACCTGAAGGAGCCATCTTCCAGTGCACGTGGCAGGAAGTGTTCGAAGATCGCCGGCCCAACCTCATTGTGTCTCAAATCACTTCCAAAGACGAACTTCGACTCTACGCCCTCCCCCAGCGGCCCTGTCGGAGGAACCGCCAGGGAAACAAACTTCCTGCCCTCGACCTGAGCCACGATCTTCGCACACAATTCCACACTGCCATCGCCGACTGCAAACGCTCCCGCACTCTGCTTGCCCTGGGAAGCCGCTACCACATCCTCCACCACCGTCTCGCTGCGATAGTCGAAGACTTGACTTGCCCCCAGGGACTTCACAAACTCAAAGTTCTTGGGCGATGCCGTGCTGAAGACCTCGTACCCGGCTGCGAAGGCCATCTGAACCGCGCTGCTGCCGACACTCGACGAGCCACTCCAGATAAGCACCGTCTGGCCCGTGGATGCGGCGCGAGGGGCGCACGGGAACTGTAGGGCAAGGTGGTCCTTCTGGAAAAGACCGCTTGCGGCCGTGGAGATTCCCAAGGGGATGGCCGCGGCGTCTGGGAAGGATAGTTGGGGAGGAATCTGCGCGGTGGTCTGGGGTGTGAGGACCACGTAGGACTGGAAGCCTCCATCAGCCGGTCGGCTGGTTCGGACTCCTGATGTCAAGCCGAGTACGCGGTCTCCGGGCTTGAAGCGGGAGGCGAGGGCGCCGGGGCCGACCTCGACGACTTCGCCCGCCACGTCGCAGCCTAGGACGGTCGGGTAGGTCGACCAGGGGAAGAGGGCGGTGCCCATGTCTTGCATGGCATAGTCGACCAGATTGAGTCCGACGGCTTGGTTTCTGATTACGATTTCGTTCTCCTGGGGAGGGGTGTAGGCTGCTTCGTCCACTTCGAGGGGATAGGCTTTCTCGGACCTGAGCCACGCGGCGCGGTTGCTGGGAGACATTGTGAAGAGGGTGGTATATAGTTGGAGATTTTAAGACTCTTGGATCCTGTGGCCGAAGCTCTTGCGCATATATTCTGTTTATTGATGCTGATGATTGCTGACGATGATGATGTTCTCGTCGTGTTGTCCTCATGCTGCAGTTATATACACTGTCATACAGAGTTAGGGCTTATGGCCGAGGCCAACTAAAGTCCGCCATGTCCGTCGGCCTTAATCCTCTCACCAGTCACGAAATCACTAACTAAACACCGACGGCGTTTCGGTATCTTATCTCCCTACGGCGAATTCCCATTTAATCTGACTGAATCCCGCTCGTTTCTGATTCTGACATCATGCTTTGTTATCCCCTCAGCACATACTAATACTCTCCATGCTGCTACCACCAGCCATGGACCAACCCTCAATGCAATATGATCTTTCCCCGGCCCCGTACGGCCGCGCATGTATGAATTGCTCGCAGGCGAAATGCAAATGCATACTTTCCAAAGATGGAGGCCAGTGTCAACGGTGGGTTTGTTCCACAATCAGCATATTTCTCCACCCACCGTCCCGGCTGACTATATGCATGCTCTACAGCTGTCAGCGCCCCAACAAAGAATGTCGCCCCTCCGCGTTCCAGCGCCGGCAAAATCTCCGCAAATCCGCCGCCACGAAGAGCGGCCGGCTGGAGAAGAAGCTGGACGATGTGGTCGCGCTGCTTCGTGCCCGGGCCGCGCATGCATCTGGTAGCAGTGCGGCCGCAGATGAATACGCTGACTTGATCGAGGAGCAGTTGAACGCGACGACGCCGGCAAGGCCGCGGCCCCGGACACGGACCCCGCGCAGTATCTCACGGAGGAGACCTGACGTTGAAATCCAAAATGCCAGCAATCCGCGGGTCCGGCTGCAGTCCACCGAGCCGCTCGAGCAGACATCAAGTGGTCTCGGCTCGGTGGCTCACTTGCCAGAAGACGCTGCTCTCGAGCTCCCGCCGTGGCAAGCCGAAGAGTGTTTGACGGCGTTTCTCACGCAGAAACTGCCATATCTCCCTTTCATCCATTTCCCGTCGGGGACCACGGCACGGCGTCTCCAGCGCGAGCGGCCGTTCACGTGGCTATGTGTGATGGCGGTTGCTTCGAAGAGCGCGAAGCAGCGCTCTGCGCTCTGCGACAAGGTCAAAGAGATTGTCGCGCGGAAGGCGGTTCTTGACTACGGGGGTCGCGATCTCGATCTCCTTTTGGGAATACTGATCTTTATCGCTTGGTACGTTTGTTGTTCGCCACTATTTTCTCCCTCGGTTTTAACCCTCGATTCAGGTCCAGCCAACAAGTCTTCCGTAAGCTCAACCTGATTATGTTCAGCCAGCTCGCCATTGCGGTGGTGTATGATCTCTCGCTGGACAAGCCCTCCTCGCTGGAGAACTCTCTCCTGTTGTGTCTCCATTCGTCCGTGGATGACGGCCCTCCCCCGTTGCCCGTCCGGTCCAAAGAGGAGCGTCGAGCCGTGCTAGGTTGTTACCTCCTCACCTCGAGGTATGCCACCGCGTCAACAAAGCAATGCACTGCTCAGATCTAACCAGCATGTAGCATCGCCCTCTTCTTCAAAAAAGCCTCATCCCTCCGCTGGACCCCATACCTAGAAGAATGCCTCGAAACCCTAAGCCAGCACCCCGACAGTCCCCACGACGAAGTCCTCATCCACCAAGTCCGCTACCAACACGTCAACGAGCAACTGAATCACCAAGAGACCCCCCACCCCCTCCAAGCCCCGATCCCCACCTACCAACATGCCCTAACCACCTATCTCCAAACCGCCCAAACCAAATTTCCCCCGCACACCCAACAATACAGTACGTCCCCTCCACCTCCCCCTCCCCCTGCTTCCAGAGAACCTCCATAGAAACCCCCATCAAAGACCGGTATATCTAACGCCCCAAGCCAGGAATAATCCACCTCCACAACACCCACACCACCCTAACCCTGACCGAACCCTCCCTCCTCCTCAACACGAGCCCCAGCCCCAGCCCCAACCCTAAATCATCCCAATCCTCATCCACTTCGCAAACCCCAACCCAACCGCCCAAACTCAACATCCCCCATCTCAACCACCTCTCCGCCGCCCTCACCGCCACAAAGCTCTGGCTCGAAACCTTTCTCGCCATCCCGCCGGCCGAGTACAGCGGCTTCCCCTTCACGGTGTTCGCGCAGCTGGCCCGCACCCTGGCCGCTCTGTGGCGGCTCTCCACGCTGGAGGATCCGCTGTGGGATCGCGGGGGCGTGCGACGGACGGTAGATATCTTGGGGGTGTTGGATCGCGTGGTGGGGAATCTGGGGCAGGCGGCGGCGTTGGCGAGGTTGGAGGGGGGGAGGAGGTTTTTTTGGTGGAGGGAGGGAGAATGCGGTGGGGGATGGAGAGGGGGACTTGGGCCAAGAGGAGGAGGAGGAGGTGGATGAGTGGGAGGTGTTTTTTCAGTCGGTGGGGAAGTATGAGTCTATGCGGTTGGTTTGGGAACGGAAGTTGGGGGAGAGTGCCGGGGGTGGTGGGGCTGGGGGGAGTGAGAGCGTCCCGTTGAGTCAGGATGTTTCTGGTGCTGGTGCTGGTGCTGGTGCTGGTGCTGGTGCTGGTGCTGGTGCTGGTGCTGGTGCTGGTGCGGGTGCTGGTGCTGGTGCGGGTGCGGGTGCTTTGGGGTTGGGGGTCGGGTATGATGACTGGTTGAGTGAGTTTTTGAATTCAATGGTGCGTTGACTCTGAGATGCTTCTGTCTTGAAAGGGATTGATGCGGGGTTGAGCTATGTACACAAAACAGGACAATAGATCAGCGCGGATGAGAACCTGGCAACTACTTTCCCAGGATATCCCCTCCCTCCGGCCCCGTCTGCGCCTTATGGATTCTTTCGGCCGTCGTCTTGAACAGCCGGGGCAGCCGCGTCTCCGTCTCTTCGAATGGCTTCCCCGTCGCGATCATCTCCGCCAGGCACTTCGCGCTGAGCAACACCACTGGCATGCCATGCCCATTAAATCCCGCGCAGATATACTGGTCCGGACTATCCGGGACCTGTCCGATGTGCGGATGGGAGTCGTACGAGTAGCCCATGACTTGTAGTTGTCTTCATGTTAGCATTTCCCCCTTCATACAGAAGAATCGAAACCGGGGCAGTAAAAACAAGGGAAAACTCACTCCCCGTCCAAATCTCCTTGACATACGCCCCGCTCTCCTCCCACCCCCTGAACGTCCTCTGCATATAATCATCATAATAATGCTGAGTCGGCTCAATCAACGTCCCATCATCCACCACATTGTACCACTGCTCCCGCGCATCCCTGAAAGTATACTGCGCCCCGCCCACAATAATACTCCCATCCGGCCGCGAGATCAAGTAACTGTTCCCGCCGCCTTCCTTCGTGTACACCACGTACGAGTACGGCAGGAAGGGCACGCTGGCTTGCTCCGCTGGCACGGCGATGTGCGAGCAGATGCCCCGGCAGGGGACAATGTTCTTGGCGTACTGCGGCAGCAAGCCCCCCGTGTAGGCGTTGGTCGCGTAGACGACTTTCCGGGCGCGGATGACGCCACGCGGGGTGTGGATGGTGTGATGCGTCCCATCTTCGGTGGCATTAACCGCTGTCACGGGGGTTTGGGCTTGCACGTTCAGCTGCGGGGACGAGGCGATCTTGTGAAGAAGGCCCAGGATGAATTTGTACGGCCACAGGGTGCCGGAGGTGTAGGAGAGGCAGGCTTTTGCGCCTTTGACGCCGGAGATCTTTGGTTGGTGTGTTAGCTTCGTCCGTTAACAAGGGCGCTAGCCATCGCCGTGAGACACATCACTGTCACGGGATGCTCTCTCCGCGAGCATCCAGACCAAGAGGAAACAGTGGGGAAAGCACTCACCCCCTCCGCGTTCTTCGCCGGCGTATAATGCAGATCCTTCGCCACGGCCACCCCCTGTGCCAGCAGCGTCTCGTAGGCCCGGCGGGCGCGATCACCGCCCTCCTCGCTGAGGTACACGTTCATATTGCGCGTGATGTTGAAGTCGCAGTCGATCTGCTCCTCCGCCAGCAGATCCTTCAGCGCTTGCATGTGCGCGTACTCGAAGTCGGCGATCTCAACCGCGGCGGACAGCCCGTACCGCTCAATGTACTTGGGGATGTGGCCGTAGATGTCGGGTCGGAGGTGGCCGCCTGTTTTTTTTTTTTGGTCGTGAGCAGGTTTAGTTACTTGGGGAAGGCTGGCATACCGTTGCGACCGGTTGCGCCCGAGCATATCTGGCGCGCCTCGAGGAGGGTGATTGTCGGATAGGACGATGAAGATGTGGTGCTGTCGTGGCCGAGTTGTTTCAGGAGGTAGTAGGCTAGGGTCACACCCGCGTACCCGGCGCCGATGATCGCGATATCGGTCTCTTGGGGCAGGTCGGGAGTCGTGCGGAGGGAATCCAGTTCATCGAGTTCCGTGCGCCAGAAGGGCTGGGTGGGGTTGTCGATGGGGAGGATGGGGGACATGGCGGATAGGATTGGTTTGAATGGGAGAGTGTAATGATGATTTGAGGTGAATATGGACTCGTTTGAGGGCCATGATGCTTTATTTATGAATCCGGCCTACTATAGGTAGGGATGTTTTACTCCGTCCCCAACGCCGAAGAGGGGCTGATTGATAACGCCGCTTCTTCTAATCTAAGCTTTATCTGCGGAGTTCGGAGCTGACGGGCCACACGCCACGTTATCTATCTGTGCATAGATAGTTCCTTCAGCCATATGTCTAGATTATCTCACGATGGCAGTTCAAGGATGCTTATATTGAGTAACTTCTATAAATCACGAAATATAGACCGAACCAATCATGCCATCTCCTCCCAATCCAAAGCCCTTGCCCCATCGCCCCGACTCCTGACGCTTCTTGCGGATGTTCCAGAAGATCGAGCCCTGGAGTCATACAATTCATCAGAAACTACTCGAATACTTCCAACGACTGGCTAATCACTCACATCGTACACTTGACGCAGATCTTCCTTGTAGATGCGTCCATCCTTCTGGAGCAGCAACCATGTCGTCCCCCACTCGAAGAGGGCAGCCCCCCACTATTGACTCACAGATCAGTATACAGTACACACCCCGCAGCCACTAGTCTGAGACGATTGATAACCTACTCCGAACGGATCAACAGCCACCCGCTGACCGTGCATCAAGTTGATAATTTCCCCGAGCGTCAGAGTCCCGTCGCCTTTCCGGTCATATTTGGCGAACAGATTCTCAAACGCCTGCGGTACGAACCGGCCCTCGTTGTCGATCACGCCACTGTCCGATCCATGCTGAGAGGTTTCGCCCAAAAGTCAGTTGAAACACATCCCAAAGGCCAACCTCTTGCCCCACCAGCTTCCGGTTTGCTTCGTCGAAACCCCGGGGATTCAAACCTGTAACATACCTTAGCCTTGTGAATCCCGTCCACATACACCCGGAACCACGGGTCCGGGAACCAGGAATGCGCCAGCCGCGACGGGTACGAGAAGTTGAGGTTGATGATCAACATCGCCAGCCACGAGAAGAGCATGTTGAATCCCAGCTCCCGGAAGCCGACGTAGGTGTCCCACGGGGTGATCTGGCCGTCGCCATCTCGGTCCCAGAAGAGGACGTGCTGCTGGAGAACGGTCTAGATCGGGGTCATTCAATCAGCTTCAGCTAGCCTTGCCGGCAGCCACCGACTCGGTTCGACACGCACATAGTCTTTGTTTTCCTCGTGGTATTTTGAGTGGAGGCCCGATTTGGCCTGCGAGACGGTGTAGTTGGCGCGGGAGACGCCGGGTTGTTGAATGTGCGCGCCCGCGTCCGTGGCTACTGGGCGTGCCTGGGTGACGGGGGCTTGTTTTGCGGATATGGAATCATTCAGATTCGTTTTCTCGTCGAGGGAGGGGGTCATTGTTATTATCTGAGAGAAAAGGGTAGAGTATATTATCTTTGGATGTTATTCTGTCCTCTTCCAAGCGAAGCCATCATGCCAGTCTTATAGGTCTTATCACGTGTAGCATGACACTCTTTATATCGTATCGACTCACGATGACATCAACTCGTGTCGACAAAGAAGCTGAGGCATATCAGGTTGAGGTCTGTGCGTAAACAAACCGGCCAATCCGAACCCCGGAAATGGAAATATGGCAGTGGTTCGACTTTATCTGAGTCGCATACGTCATCCGATCGGAACCCGACCTGTTGCAACTTGCACTGCACCCAACCCGATATCAAGCTTTGGGGCCTAAGCTCAGCATTGTTCCTGTTCTTGAAGCCGTTAGAAATGTGGGTGTGTCTGTTGAATCTATACCGTTGTACCGTTCCTTATTAGCGAAACCAGGGACCCTTAGAACGCTTCCAGTTCTACCCGCAGTGTGCATATTTGGAGATGTGCAATTTCACCGGATGGCCCTTGCTATAAAGTCGACGGACAATTCTGGCCTATCAGGCGACTTTAAAGAGCATTATAGAAAAACTGCAGAACTGAGGTCCTTCTGATATCCTTTCTCGTGGTGATTATGGAGGAGGCTGGCTTTAAGTTCATGAACTGCGTCAGATGCGAGTACATGTTGTGGGGGTGGGGGTGGGGGTGGGGGTGGGGTGGACATGCTGGTCTTGAGCCTCAAGTGGGAGGGCGTGCCTTCACAAGTTGTACTTACACTATTTTCAGTGTAAAAAATTCTTAGTTTCTGTTGGCGTATCTAGGATACAAGACTAGTTTCTCAGATTTTGGAGTATCTACTCTCAATCTGTACCGCCAGGTCCTGGGAGAAAAGAGAAATAGGACCCGGGTATTGTACAATCTCAAGCAGGTTCGCACAGCTTGAGGGCAAGTATATTTACAGGATGATAATAGGCAACAACAGGTATAGCTTCGGGGTACCAATGCAATGGTAGACAGTTGAACTCTAGTATGTAGTCTTATATGCAGAACAGAATCAGTATAGAATTCTCGCAGCCTGTTTAGCAGCCTTGATCAAGTCAACCGCTGCACTTTGTAGACTTCTATCAGAACTTAGCCATTCGTCTTTGCCGATGCTCGGTTTCTACTTCTTGTTGCATTGTCCTACAGATTAGCACTTACATGCTAGATAACCTTGCTGCTAACAGAGCTACTAGCGAGCTTTTATTCACAGAGCCTATGAAGATTTCTATGTAGTGGAACGCGTAGGAGATGTAAAAGACCGTGTCTTATTTAGGTGATGGCTTAAATGGCGCCGGGCTCACAGCAAACATCCTAATCGAGAAAAGGCTGAGCCAATTCCACTTAGAACCACACTAAACCTCATGCGTCAGTACCCCCTTGCCCCAATCTGGCTTAGCGCACGACATCATCTACCCTCCGCCAGTCAAGCTCAGCCCCGACCGACCGTCCACTGCACCTACAAAGGAACTGTCTGAATGACTATTCACTCTACCGCAGGGGCAGCAGCGCATCCAAACAAACCACCAAAATATACCCCCATTCATACAGCCATGACCAACCCCGTCTGAATCACAATCAATTATCTGACACCAGCCCCTCGCAAGGCGACCTTTATATGCAGCTAAATCCCCGCCCGTCTCGCAGACCTATACTAGTACTTGCTAGTACCCAAACAATATGACCGATTACTCGAAATTGAAGGTCACCGACCTGAAAGCGGAGTTGAAGCGGCGCGGCATCGCGCAGACCGGTCTTCGCGTCAAACAACAAATCATCGACCGATTGGAGGAAGAGGATGCTCGCGAAGCTGCAGGACAGGATGCGACCGCGGAACCGGGCTCCGATCGCGATAATGCGCAGGAGGAGGAGGAGGAGCTGGAGGAGGAGGAGGAGGAGGAGGAGGAGGAGGAAGATGAAGTGAGCGAGCCTACACCGGAGACGGAGGAGGTACAACAGGAGGTACAACCTGCGCAACCCGTTGAGCCACAGGCCGATTCGGCCACACACGCGGAGCCGGTCCCCGAAGAGACCGTGGAGCAGATGGAGACAGAGGTTTCAACACAGCCACCGGAGCAAACGCCGGAGAGTGTAGTAGATCAGATTGCTGCCCGTGGCAATCAGGTCGCGGAGGAGTCGCCAGAACAGCCGAAAGAGGAGGTGGAACCAAGCACAAAAGCGCAGGAGCTGGAAGAGACGGTGGTCGCGACTGACACCTCTGCAGTGCAGGAAACGACGGCTGAGCCACCTGCCGTCCCGGTTGAGCAGGCTCCCGGAAACGAATCCGCGCAGGAAATTAATGCAGAGCTCAAGGAGACCGCGCCGCCTACGAGTATCCCTTCGGAATTGAACACAGCATTATCAACTCCTCTTCCCACAGAGGAGCTGTTGGAGGATCGACGCAAGCGCAAGCGACGCAGCCAGAGTCCTGTGCCCACACCGGAAGCTCTGGCCATCAAAAAGGCGAAGGCGCAAGAGGAAGAGCCTCGCGTGCTTCTGCCTGAAGATCAAGGATCATCTATGATGGAGGTGGATCAACAGGAAGAAGAAGGGGCAGCACTTTCGCGCGAACCCCCTGAGGCACGTGCTGAGCCTGAGACGGCGGCGCCAGGTCGGGAAACGGAATCTGCCCCGGCCGCTGACGATACAACCCTCGCAGCCAAGAAAGATGCCCCGCCAAAACACGACGTTCGTTTCAAAGGTCTCTTCGCGGGCCCGGGAGCCGACCAAGCCCGTCCGCCGTCTCCTCCCCCTGATGTTGCCGTGGACGAGGCAGAAGTTGAACCTGCCCTACATGCTGCCACTGCTGCGCTCTACGTTGGAGGCCTGATGCGGCCGATGCAACCCGCGGCCCTGCGAAGTCATCTGGTTACTCTTGCATCGGCACCTGATGCTTCCCCGAATGCTGATGTGATCCTCGATTACTACCTGGACCCCATCAAGACACACTGCTTTGTGAGCTTTACAAGTGTCTCGGCCGCGTCGCGTGTCCGAACGGCCCTGCACGGGACCGTATGGCCTAACGAACGCAACCGGAAAGCGTTGTTTGTCGACTTTATTCCCGAAGACAAGCTAAAGTCATGGATTGAACGAGAAGAGGGGACCCGACAGCGTGGCGGGCCCGCACCCCGATGGGAAGTGAGATACGACCGTACAGATGACGGTGTCGAAGCTGTGTTAGAAGAAGTCGATTCCCGCAAACCGGCCGCCCAAGCTGCGCGTGCACCTGATCTCGCTGGCTTCTCTCGTCCACCGCCCACCGGTCCCCGTGCAGAGGGTCGTGGTCCGACTCGACGTCCCAGTAGCCCTGGTGTCGCACGGTCAAATTCTCACCCGGGCCAAGGGTTCAAGCCATTGGACGAGCTGTTCATGTCCACCACCACCAAGCCTAAGCTCTACTATCTGCCAGTTACCCGGGAGGTGGCCGACCGGCGTCTCGATCGATTCGACGACCTGCTACGAAAAGGCGCATTCCCCCGACGCGGAGGGGATGAGACCCGTCGTATCACTTTCGAAGACGGTGACCTATTTGTTGACAAGGGGCCGGAGTACTTAGGTGGTGGACGGGGCCGACGCGGCGGCCGCGGCGGCGGCCGAGGACGGGGAGGAGGAATGGGTGATTCGTGGCGAGACGACCGACGCAGTCGGTGGTAACGATACCTTTTCTGACAATCTAGTTCCTCATTGTTTCTGGTGATTGTACGGATATAGTCATCCGTCACGTGTACAGTAGTAGTTAAGGTACATTGCGAGGGGCAGGGGGGGGGGAAAGGCAAGCATGGATGTAAATTAGGTGATGACTGCACAACTGTGGAGTCCCCCACTAGACAATGCAATGAACAACTCTGCTTGGCTGTCAGTTTGACTGCGGAAAAGAGTAATTAATAGCAAGAGGAATAAAATAATAATAACAATAACAGTAATAATAACAACAACAACATTGAACGGGGCTGTGGTGATCCGTTAGAAATATGTTTGAATCTTTTTTTCATTCTCCAATAGACAAAGGGGGAAATGAGCGTGAAAGAGGGTAGCGAGAGTGGGATTGAAGGCAGTTCCGGCTATTTCGGGAAAGTGGCGCAGCCCGTGGCCAGTGGATACGGTACATACCAGCTGTGATGTAAGTTGAGCTAATTTACCGTCTTTATGGCGGGGAACAATGAAGATGACGTGTATTGGTATGGTCACTTGAGATTGCCTCACAGACTCCCGTTAACTTTGGTGCCTGTGGTTCGTCATCCCAGCAATCACAAAGCATGCCAATGCAAACTGAAATGAAGTGAGTGAGTGAGGGCACTTCACCTGTGTTTCGTTTCATCTGCTCCTCCCTTCAGGTTGGTTTGATGCTATACCTATACCTAATTATACTATACTGGACTGAACTACTAGCTAGACCAATAGTCCTGGTCTGGTCTGATTGAATACAGTACCCTAACCTACGGAGTACTTCTTTCCATCTACGCAATATACAGTGTATTCGGATCAACAGTCCGATGTACCACAATCAGCACCATCATCTTCATTGTTCCCCAAGAGTATTGGCATTGTCCACACCCTCATTCATTTCTTTTCCCCCTCTGGCCGATCACTGTTGATCCCCAGCCTCTCTTCCTCGCTCTTCTCCTTCACTTCTGCTCTTTCCCCCCTCTTCTGTTCACTTATTAGACGCTGTTCCTGCCAAGCAACACCAAGCAACACGACACGCAGCTCACGCTTTCTCGGCGCCTGTTCCAGCGTGGCAGACATACACCCCATTACTTTCTGTCCGCTCGACCCACGATTACTATCCTTGCAGTTCCACCGGCGACAAAAGTGTGGACGGAAGTCTAATCTCGGGCGGCTCTCCCAGGGGTTCAGTCGCTCATTCTTGGGCCAAGCCGGGCTGGGCGGATAAGATAGAAAGTCGACCGTGTTTCTCGCTCTCCATTCAATTTGCGACGATTTTACTCCCCCTTCTTTTACAACATCCTGAAAACCTCTATTTTCGT